CCTAGAATGACACCAAAGGGAGCCTTCACAGCAGTGGTGATCAAGCGTATGCTGAGGAGGCGCTCAGAAGCCGCCAAATCACCTACTGGAGCCAGGATGCCGGAGTGTTAGAGCACGACGTCTAGATTTCAGTAACAAAACAGCCGTCTCCAAATGCCGTCTTAATGTGCAGCCTTTGAATTGCATCGGCGATGTCTTCTTGAGGGGGAAGGGGAGGAAAATGATCCTGCAGAGGCTGAAGAGGGACAAAATTCTGCTACAAAGGGCGTGGGGAGTTAGTCCACGAAGCCTAGAAGGTGCTCTCTCGGCTCATTGTGGAGTTCGCCTTTAACCAATTTGTTACATATGCAGCCGTTACCCACATCGCGAACAAAAGTGACCCAGTGTAAAGTGTCCAGCACTAACTTGACGAAAAATTTGGTAGTTTACGATTATTGCCAACGTTCTCCGTGGAGATATTTGCTTTAACCCAGTAGTTTTTAAAGTCATTCCTTTTCGTTTTCGCTGTCATTTTATCATCTAACAGATGGAATCACCGGTGTGAAACCCAGGATTGCGAAATTCAGGCCTCGTCCCAGCTCGAAAAATGCGGTAAAGATAGTTTCTGTATCCTATTATAGACGAAAAGCAGGGGGTATTTCGTAAGCTACCCCACCTGCTGAATGGGTAATAGTCCGTTGGCAATAAATACCGGAATGCGCGGACGCTCCCATGCATTCATAAACAACAACTGACATCGTACAGTACTTACCGCACAAAAGGGACGTAAAGAGGAGACGGAGACGGAGGATGAAGGCAACCGGTCCGAGTTCGACATTTAAACTGACAAAATGTTTACGCATGTCGTATTATTGAACTTAGAGAAATTGGCTGCGGTGTACTTTATTGCCTCACAGAAGCGCTCTTTACAGTTAATTTTCGGTCTTTGTGACCAAACGGGTTACCGACAAAAATCCATACATATAGGACAGTTTTCTATTGCACCAGGATTGCAGAAGCGCTAGTCTATAATAATCTGGGCAGACTATTCGATACCCGTTCGGAAGTGGGCTAAGGTTGCAACTTGCTCTGTCCTCGTGCGTTGATTGCAGGAATTTTTAAAACTACCCCAGATCGGTAAGTAACCCAAGGGTGAAGGTTTAGTAGTCTGATTTGCAGTTAGTGCATTACCCTGAGAACACAAATGTTCGATTGCCTACAGAACGCAGTATCCGTCATGCAAAAGTCGCCTACATTGTCTGCTATTTTTCTTTAACGCTGGAAGGGCGAAGCTGTTTGTTAGGTTGATCAGACCTGGTCCAAGTGTGCCTGCCAAGTGAGCTCTGCCTTCACTGTTTGCTCAAGTGAACATGTGATCTATACGAATTTGCGTTATCAGCACACATTGAACCGAAACCGACTGCGTGCAATGCAATTCCTGTCCCCAGAGTTTCGTTGCTTCTGAAAGGGTACACATAAGCCTACATACGTCAGCAGTGCATTCTCTACAGCCTAGGTTTGACCAGTGAACAAGTCCGGTTACTTTATTCTTAGTAATTCACCCCCGTTTCTATGCTCGCTATCGTCCAATCGAATCCCACTGTTTACTGCAATCGGCCAATCAGAACCTGTAGGCCGTCAGTGCGGGTTAGCGAGCGCACAATGCGAGGGAAAAATAAAAGGCAGAATTCGTAGCTTTCACGGCAATCTATCGATCCTGATCCAGTTATCACTCAAAATGGCACTCCCACAGGAGAGAATATTTGAAGACGAATTTCCACTGATTCGAAGCTGCCCTGCATTGAACGAAATACGCCTTGCTCAAGATATCAATGATTTGACGATAGAGGTAAGTTATTTTACATTTGACATCTATGCGTTTTTGTTAGGTAAAGAACGGCGACGTTCTACACGCCGACCGAATAATTCTAGCAGCTCGCATTCCTTGTCTGCGATCGGCTCTCAGTGGCCCCCTCCGGAAGGAGAATTCGACCCTTAGATGGCCGACGATGCCTCTCAGGTAAAATCTTACTCTATTCTGTGATGGTGTCTACCCCCCATGCACTTTTCAGCCTAGCAGCCACGTTCATCCAGTATGTTTACACGGGTCAGGTGGAGATAACACAAGAAAATGTGAGAGGCATAGTTACACTTGCCAGAATGGTAAAACTGCCCGATCTCGTGAATTGGGGAACTACATTCATGGTCGACAGGTAAATACATTCTCCCACTTATTTGTCCGTTTAACAGACTCAATTCTGAAAATTTGGCGGTCACGTGGGACTTGGCCAGGTCTCTGAATGTCGAATTATTGACGGATAAGTGCATCAGTCTGATGAAAGCGCACTTTGAGGATCTCATTCCAACTGACCTGTTTGCTAGCTTGCCAGCTGAAACGCTGCTCACATTGCTTAGAAGTGGAGATCTGTCAGTGGGTTCTGAAGAGCAAGTTATTGGAGCCATCGCACGTTGGGTTGGTTCTGGTGGCCAGAACGATGATGAGAAGTTGAATGTCCACGCTCCTACAATGCTGAGGGAGGTCCAGTGGCACTTGACGACCGTCCAATGCCGAAGCCGCCTAATGGAGTGCCATGCAATTTTTAAGAAAAGTAACGAATGCGCGTAAGTATATGCTATTTGCGCGAGGTATTTTAATATGAAAGAATTTTTCGCGCAAAGGGTAGTGAAGAAATGGGACGATCACCCTCAGTCAGTCGTGGAGGCGACCTCCCTGCAACGCTTCAAGAAA